TAATGCAGGCTGCCGTGTTGTTCACGCACAATCTTTTCAGTACAGGCCCGAAGGAAACACAAATGGGGAAGACAAACACCAAGACTCTGAAAGGTAGCATCCTAAAGGCTCAAACCAGTAACAAATGTCCTGAGTCCACAAGGAACTGTACCGTATCCTAGGCTGGGATATGGAAATCTGTAGTACAGTGGGGATGCCACAGCCAAGCCCGTGATGTTCCCTTTCCTAAGGCCAGTTAGTTTCTTCTAGGAAGGAGAGTTCAGGGACTGTGACTGGACTGTTGTGGGAGACCAGGCCACTGTGAGAAACTGGATCCTCTGTAGTCGGGTCCTCTGTCATTCCAAGGAGACATCAAAAGCAAGGCAGCTGTATCCTGCACTGGTAAGCAGACACTTGGTGTAACATTTGCTGCAGGCTTTATCATTCTCTCAGCACACAGGCAAATCCCCCCGATGTTACTGAGAGGGTGGTTTAGCACTACCTGCTGCAGAGCTCCCTGAAACCACTCAGCCATGAAAAAACAGTTCTTGAGTCTGCTCAATCCTTGGGAATTTGACTGTATCAAAGGCCCGCTCTGGGAGTTATTACTACTTGCAGACCTCTGCCCTAAGGTTACTGGACAATTCCGGGCTTCACCAAATCACTTCCCTATTCAGTCCTTGATGAGTTGTCTCGCTCTGGAAAGCTGCGTTTTTGTTTCTTCTTTTTAGTCATGGGATAGAATTAAGTTAGAGCTTCATGCTACAAACCCGGCTCCATAGTGAGCTGCTTCTCCCCAGGAATCTGTGACGATATATAATATTCACCCAGTCTCTTGCTGTTTGTATCCTTGTCTCCATGCTCTCCTCGGCAAAATGTCAGAACCCATTTGGAAATTTAAAAATAAACCCATTTTTAAAATAAGTAGATACACACTTGTTGATAGCACTCTGAACTCGTGACAGAAATTCATCTAGTAAAGTAAAACAAGTTTGGAGCTGAGCTCCCTCTCTTCTTCTGTCTCAGGTGATTCCAAATTATACATCAGCTTTCATCTGGTCTTCTAAGTCTGTCTGATAAAATTAAACTATAACTGTAACTTGAGATAGAAATGTAACATCTTCTGGAAAGTTGCTAAGATTCATAGAATGATTTGGAAGGGATGTTCAAAGATCATCTACATTAACCCCCCTGCTGTGGGTAAATTGAATGAAAGCCCCTTCCAACCTGACTTTGAACACTTCCGGGGATGCGGCATCCACAACTTCTTTGGGCAACCTGTTTCAGTTTCCCACCACCTTCATCATTAAAAATTTCTTCCTTATGTCCAATGCAAATCTATCCTCTTTCAGTTTAAAACTGTTGCCCATTGCCCTGTCACTACAGGCCCTCTGAAAAATCTTTCTCTGTCTTTCTTATAATCTCCCTTCATATATTTTCACTCTGTGTTCCAGGCCAGATTGGATGAGGAGTTAAGCAACCTGGTGTAGTGGAAGGTGTCCCTGCCCATGGTGGGAGGTTGGAACTAGATGATATTTGAGATCCCTTCCAACTCAAACCATTCTATGATTCTATGATTGACAGGCCACAAAAAGGTCTCACCACAGCCTTCTCCAGGCTGAACAACTCCAACTCTCTCAGCCTTTCTTCACATGAAGGTGTACCAGCCCTGTAATTTTTTTCTGGAGCTTCACACAGGCCTACTCCTCAAGCATGTCAAGGTCCCTCTGGATGACATCCCTTCACTCCAGAGAATCAGCTGCACCACTCGGCTTGGTGTCATCCACAAAATTGCAGAGGGTGCACTCCATCCAGCTATCTATGTCATTGATGAAGATATTAAACAGTATTAGTCCCAGCACAGATCCCTGAGTAACACCACTTGCTACTGGTTTTCATTTAAACATTGAGTCATTGACCGTAATTCTTTGGATACAGCCAGCTAGTCAATTTCTCATTCATTTAACAATTCATCCGTCAAATCCATAGTTCTCGAATTTAGAGGTAAGAATTTTGCAGGGGACCATTTCTGCGTTCTTCTCTTACTCACTGATGCAGTCACTCCGTTGTATGAGGCCACTAGATTAGTCAGGCATGATTTGCCCTCGGTGAAGCCATGTTTGCTGTCTCTGATGACCTCCTTTTCTTCCATAGGTTTCAACATAGCTTCCAGGAGAATCTGTTCCATGATCTTATCAGGCACTGAGGTGAGGATGACTCATCTGTAGGTCATAAGGGTCCTTTTTATTATCCGTTTAAAAAATGGCTGTGATATTCCCTTTTCTCCTATCTCTAGGAGCTTCACCTGACTGCAATGACTTTTAAAATATGATGGAGAGGCTTAGTAACTATGTCTTCCAGTTTCCTCAGGACTCTGGGATGAATTTCATCAGGCTCCATAGACTTGTATATGTCCATATTCTTCAGATGGCCTCAAACATGATTTTCTATGATGGGAAGGACTTTGTTCTCCCAGTCCCTACCTTGAGGTTCAGGGACTTGAGAGATGTAGAAAGAGAGATTATCAGTGAAAACTGAGGCAAAAAAAAAATTTGAGTACTTCAGCCTTTTTCATGTCAGTTGTCACTAGTCCTCCTGTCTTATTTATCAGACTGGGACACCACAGTTTCTTTAATCTTCCTTTTCTGAGGAAAAAAAAAAAAAATGATCTTTACTGCACTTGTGTAGCTTACTTTTCCTGACCAGGCATCTAAGATTTTTGTGATAGTTGTCACATGGAATACTTAGTCAGCTTTTCTTTGACACTGGAGAAGAAGAAAAATGGCTGAAACTCGATTGAACCATATTTAATGAACCCTATTTTAATGAAAGGAATCTCCTGCCTCAAGAGCGCACAAATTCTATCCTCACCAGATTTGGTCCTGACAGGAGAGAGATGATTAAAGTGTTCTCTCTGACAGAAGGAGAAAAATATTGAAGCAGTTTAGAACAAAGTGGCCAAGGGCAGGCGACCAGGCAATAGGTACAGAATTTTGTTACAAAGATGGTAAATATATGGCAGAGAAAAGAGAGAAGCAGGAAAGAAGTGGCAATACACTGCAGTGGCAATGGCAATGCACGGTTTAAGTAAGGCAGTAACATACATCTAAGCACAAATATGCAGTATGTAGACCCAGTATATACAGCCTTGGTTGGCCAGTGACAGCATACACTGTTTGCTGAAAGACCAACAGGAACTCCTTTTTTTTACGGCTACTGCAGGTCCTGACCTATGCTTTGTTTATTTTTATTGTTTTCTGTGTTTGGTGAGAACAATAATCCTATTACTATTTTTTAACATTTCCTTCTTTCCACAGCTCCTAGCAGCCCATTCCTGAAACCATTGAAAAGCAAATCCTGCAGCCCTTGGGAAAACCAAGCACTGGGGTTTCACTGCTCTCCCAGCCAGAGACCTGCAGGAACAATGAACATTGCAAGGCAATGGAAGTGCAAAGAGATCACACAAAAAAAAAAATCTGAAAGTGAAAATCAGAATGAAACACGACTGTCGGGGTGAAGGGATATGGCTCGATAATTCCAGAGGGAAAAAAAGTGGGATGTGTATGCAGGTTTGTATCTTTGTATAGAGGAAGAGATAATAAACCTGAGCACGGACCGAAAAGTCAGAGGCACCCTAAACGGCAATGCAGAGGAAAAGTAAGAATAGCGTTTCAGGAACAGAACTTAAAAGCAGAGGCTCTGTTTTGTATTTCTTTCGCTTTTAGTACAGGGATTTAGGACGTGGATAGTCTGCGAAAACATGAATACCAGCGAAATGCAATCCCACCGTTTCTTCTCCAAATTGCAGAGACCCCGTTTCCGGGTAATCCCTTCAGATATACGAGGTTAACAGCTACGGACTTGAGATCTGACGCCTTTGTTGATGAGCTGAGCAGCTATTCCCACGAAATTCCCCGTTTTCCTGCCCGCTGGAGCAGCGGCGGTCCCGGCACTGTGACTACGGCGAAGAAACAGCCTCTCCCCGTGCCCCTTCTCCCTGGACTGGCGCCCAGGCAGAGCCGAGCGGAGCGAAGGGCATTGCTTGGGCGCGGTAAAGGCGACAGAAGCAGGATTCGGTGGAGTCACTGGGAAAAGGAGGCGGCTTTAGGGTCGGGGGGCAGGTGCGGGGAGACGCGCCGGGGGGGCCCGCCCAGTGCTG